AGCCCCTACTCTTCTAAATGTAAACCATCCATACCAAAAAGCTCTCTTTGGCAACTGAACTGATTCCTTAAGTCCAACCAGCCAATATCGTCATCTTCACATATTAGCCTACTGAGCCTAGCTTTCAGCCCAAGTGACATACTTATAAATTCAAACCCACAAAGTTTTGGCAGTATCCCTGACACAATTAAGCTAAGGTCCATTTCCTTAAATGCTTTTATCAACCACCTGTACTTATAAATTAGCTCCTCTCACAGAAACAATTTCCTTGTTTTGAAACCATCTAGACATCCTATTTACTATGCACACATACACAACCCAACAGAACTAAAACAAATTATTTTATTTTTGGAGTGACTGTTTATTATCAGGAAATTATTCTTCATTGTGTACTTTTTTCTACTGGATTAACAAAACAAGAATATTTTTCATCAAATAAATCAAGTGAAGACATTTGTTTGGTTTTTTGTTCAGAAAATTGAAAGTTGCTTTATGACAAACTTGGTGTTAATATCTATATGTTATTCTCCTTTTTTACCAACCTGCATGTATTAGATTATTGGTCAGATGCACATGAAGCTAGTCAATTATATGTGTATGTATACAAACAACATATACACATATCTACTTACTGTATGCAAACTGTAAGCAGACAGGTTGAGTACAGAATGCCCAGTAACTGTACAAGGGTGAGGAGGTGAGTGCTTAAACCCACAACATCTCACCTCCTGCTGCCTTTCACTTTTTGCAGCCAGATATGGGAAGGCAGTTACCCTTAAAGTTATTTAAGTTTTAAAAGTAGAAACAGAACCACCCAAAATTTCTACAGTACATAACTCCCAATGGCCACCCTTATAAAGGTCTTAAAAAATGAAAATTAAAATATGAAAACTTACTTATAAATTGTCAAAGATTTATTCAAGTATGACGTGAAAAAGCTGAGGCAGGCCCAGCTACTTGAAGTTGGTCTTTCCAGTCTTGGCATACTGAATAAAAAAACTGTTTTTTTAAAACTAAGTTAGTTATTCAAGGTCACCCTTGATAAACTAATGACCTCTATGTAAGGAGTTTTCCATAATTGAAAGTTTATTATTTAAAATAAATTTACATTTATTATGTAAAATAGTAAAATATTTTTTTAGTTGTATCTCTCTAAATCCATTATTTTTTTCATTCATTTATGAATAAGGAAACATTATCCATAAAAGAGTTATTAATTGCTATTGCATACCATTAAAAATATTTTCAGTTGTGATATAATAATCTATTTTAACA